AAGAAGCATCGGGCCGTTTACCGTTTATTTTTCGGTTGGCGACCCACAGCCCTCGACGTGTGCCCGAATATAGGGTTGACGATAGCACGAGACGCCTCCCCCAGGTCCTCATCGTCGCTCTCATCGCTGGAGGCTCGGACGATGCCCAAACCATTGCTTCCCCCGCCGTCGGCGACGCTGACGGAGAACTGTGTCTTGGCGGAAGATGTGTAGCTGAATATGTCGTCTTCCCTGTCCTTGTTAAGGCCGAACTCGACCGCAACGCTGTCGTTGAGCGGCCTCTCGCCTGCGTCGTTGTTTTTGCAATTGTTGTTCGTTCGCATCTCGATACCATGTATGCATTTCCTGGATTTGCTCGCTGCCCTGCTCAAGAATAGCTTGGGTTTTTCGTTGTTTTGTTGCTGCCCGCGTGGGGCGGGGCGTGGCATTACCCCATCCCTGTTGGAACGCTTGCCGGAGTTTGTCTGGGTGCGACCACAGGTGTCATCGTCGCTGCCCCCGGAAGAATGACTGAGGTTGCCGTCGTTGACGGCGTTATTGTTGCTGTTGTTGGTCTTCTCGCTGCGCGTGTGGTTCTGAACAACGACCAGTCGCAGCGAATACGAGGAAGAAGAACGACAGGGGGTAGCGGAGGCAAGACCGTGAGAACATACACCACACGGCACGTACATACATTTCTAAAAATCGGAGGCCCGCTGTCAACCATATCACCAACAGATCGCTCACCATCGGCCCCCTTTCCCCTTGTTCTGCTGCTGTTCTCCTTAACCTGTCCAGAATTTCCTCCCTGGCCCTCCCGAAGGTGTACACTGACGACGCCATGCTCCTGAGGATGCCGCCCCGGCACTCGGCGGAGAGGGGCACGAATCGCGGTGCACCGTCTCGAAGGTAGGTATCCAATATGCGCATTGTCGCCGCCTGAACGATGGGCAGACAGAGCACGCTCACACGTTTCAAACCTTTTGTAGGGTACTACGGTAGATATGATACTTGTCTTGTCATCGATGTCCAGAGATCGATTGCTCCATAACCAAAGAGGGCGTGTGTGTGTAAACATAGCCGTGCAGCCGTAGTCGTTAGACCATTGACCTCGCATTCTTACAAAGCCGGGAGAGAACGCCGGGTTCTCACCGGGGCAGCCTAGCACGTCGCCAAGCGCGAAGCGCCGTGAGGTATTCGGCTAGTCGCATGGAGGGTGCACTGCATCCAAGAGGGGCGGGGGGGTGTACTCGTAGTCGTGCATGCCGTAGTCGTTAGACCATTGACCTCGCATCCTTACAAAGCCGGGATCGAGCACGCCGGGTTCTCACCGGACCAGCGCCGTGAGGTATTCGGCGAGTGGCATGGAGGGTGCGATACATCCTGCTAATAGGCGTGTCCCGCATCTTGTGCATAGTTCCTTGCATACCGATGACAGCTGCGAATGACTCCAATTATTTTCTGGCGCTGCTTTCACTTCCAGAAGACAGTTAAAACTGTGTAACTGCCTCGAGGGTGCTTGGCCATCACAACACAACGTGGTGCGATCACCCCCTCTGCACGGAGTGAGGGTTCTCGACCCCGCGCAGCATAATCTACTCGACCACCGTCGTGGTTACCGCAAACAAAAACGGTGTCAAAAAAAAAAGCGGTAACCTGGTTGCCGAGCTCACGAAGTGAACGGCTTGTTTTACAACGTCGTTGCGAACCGACGAAAACCCATCCCCAATGGCAAACACTGGGAGAGGGGGGGAGGGGGAGTGCGAAAGAATCCCCAACCGACACGTGGTGAAAGGAGAGCTTTCTATTGACGAGATAGATCTTTCCAAAACGAACGACAACTCTCCGGCATAATTCTCAGTCATACGGGTGCGGACATCCATGCTCCAAGAATTCGATCGATCGTGTACCTAATGCATACCGGTCGCCCCGGTGGTCTAGTAGGTAACCTCGGAACCTTCTAGAGGTCAGGTCAGGGGTTCGAATCCCGGCGTAAGCGAGCTTTTCTTGTTCTTGCAAAGTGAGCTTTTCTCTCGCTTCCGCTCCTGGCCTGGTGGATAGCGCTAGTTCGTGTGTACACAGAGGGAAGAGAGTGCTGAACTCTTCTCGCATTCAAAATCGAAGGCAAAGTACCGCAGGAGGGGAAGGTAGAGAGGGGCTCTTCTGTGTGACCACGGGTTGGAGCAAACGGCACTAGTGCTGTGAGCGCTGATTTGAAGTAAGACAAAAAAAAAAAAAATACCTATCCGTCACGCTCAAGTTCCACCACCCAAATGACGACCAAGAAAGTTTTGACAAGATTGGTTTTGAAAGGCAGCCTGAGACTCCGGGGCACGGGGTTGAGACTGTGTGAGAGCGCGTGGGGGCCGGTGTGTTAGTCGGGCAGGTCAAGGAACTATCGGGCCTAAACTAGAGCATTGAAGGGGCCTTTTCGATAACCTAACAGTGTTCGGATTGACGTACGGATGCCGACATACTCACATCGTGTGCATTGTGTAACCATGTGTCCGAGAAACTTCGTAGGCGGGCTTTTCCACAATAATACAGGAACCATTATTGAGTAAAAGACACTTCGACTACGACCAGAAGCGATTTCCCCACGTCGTGAGAGAGTACCATCGTCTATCGTTCAAGCAACGACAAGAAGTGAAAAATTCTCACCTGACGCAGACAATAGTCTTCCGCCTTATCCCGCGCAACCATATCCAGAAAGCACGCGGCGTCCGTGGCGGATGCTGGTCCCAGCGCATCTCTACCCCGCTTTCTCACCAAGGTATCGACCCAGCTGATTTGGTTCTGCATGTGAACGTCCTGGACACTTTCGGTTTGTTTTCCCCACTTGTCGAAGCCGTACACACCGCTGTCCAAGGGGGGCGCAGCGGAATCGACAAGTAGCGCTGGTAAATTGCACAGGCGTTACTTTCGTCCTGTGCCGATCATACACGCGGCAATCACTCATGATTCCGTTCTCAGTATCATCATTCGAAGGAATATATGTAGACCCGAATAGCACCATTCAGGGGTTGAGGTAGAGCGCGTACTTGCTATTCCTCCAAAATACGTGCAGCTTTCGACGTCTTCGCCCGTCAGAGGCCTACCTAGCAAACAACAACGTGCTTCAAAAGGAAGGCGCCAATCGACAAAAACACTGCGCGAGGGCATCAAGTACCTCCGGCGGAAACACACTTTTTATTATTATTCATGTCAACAACACACTACACCACCCACCCGCTATTAAACTCTTCGTCCTTGAAAACAAGCAGCCAGAGGGGATGCAGCACCGGCACAGCCATGACCACCATCCCGACCAGCGCCGTGATCACGAGCATCGCCGTACGACGATGATGCATGGCCGTCTCGTCGGCCGTGTCCGTCACGATCGACTCCACCAAGGGCAGGGAGACCACGCCTAAGGCGAGCGAGGCGGACGTGGCCACGGCGGACAGGAACTCGTGCGGGGCCTGTCGATTCCGGCGGCATGTGGCGTGCGAGGTTGTCGGCTGACAGGTATGAGTGATGAGGAGGGTCTGGCGTGATCATCGGTAGTCTAGCGTTCTCGAGGTTATTAAATAATTACCCGGCCGCAGTCTACTTATAATATCATCGCTCATTGAGGAATTGCCCGTTTTGGTGGGACCTGCTGTGGCAGTCATCATCTGAGGAGGAATGTCAAAGCATTTTGTTCAACTGCCGTAGCCCGTTGGCTCTTGGGAAATCTTCCCATCCGGACGTCCTGCGGAGTTGATCTCAAACGCTGCCGCACGTTTTGGGTGGCTTGTATTTACTCTGCCAGTGTTTCTGTTGCCGGAAGCAGAACAAGAAAAAGACGAGGATAGTCTTCGACGCTCGCTACAGCAAACATTCTTGCGCGACCACAATTCTCCACTCTCTCTCCCTCCAAGGGCCACTTGGCACCCCTCCCACACACCACCACTACTGTGCGCACCTGAGATCGTACGACGCGGAGCCGGAACGCCAGCGCCAATGCGGTCGCCGCGAGAATACCGGCAGCCACCCATTCGCTGATACCCGGTAGCGGCCAAGTCTCCAGACACTCTCCGGCCGTAGTGTCAAACGTCGGAGTCGCGTCACCACCCCTCGCCAAGACCATGACCGGGCCAATCAGAAACGGCAGCAAGAACGTGGCCACCTTCATGTTTTTTTGGGCAGTGGTGCGGGCCAACAGCGGTTAAGAAACCTTACGTGAAGAAACTGAGGCTCAAATTTTCACGAAAAGTAAGAAAAATACAAAATACGAGTGAATGTTTTAAAGAAGCATGTGTCGCTCAGCGGTGGGTCCTACACTTCAACTCTACAGGTTGTGCTGTAGCAACCCTGTGCTCGACAGCAGTGAGCGGCGACGAAATAGGAAACTGAGCCAAGACCCGATTTTGACTTTTCTTGTCTGCGGGCTCGTACTGTACAGACAAACCGACGACCAAGAGGACGATGCGATGCATGGGTTTTAGTATTTTTTTGACGGTGATTGTTTGTATGGGTATGGCGAGAAGGGGGGTGGGTGGGGTGTACTCATATAAACGCATGCCGTAGTCATTAAACTGTAGACCATACACGTAGTCTAGACCAAGGGGGGGGAGGGTACTCATAGTCGTGCATGTGCCGTAGTCGTTAGACCATTGACCTCGCATCCCTGCAAAGCCGGGACGGAGCACGCCAGGTTCTCACCGGACCAGGCTCTCACATCACCAACCGCGAAGCACGGTGAGGTATTCGGCGAGTCGCATCAAGGGTGCGCTTCATCCTGCTATGGGTGTTCGGCATCTTGTGCTTACTTCCTTTTGTACGCATGACAGCTAGCTGCGTTATGACTTAATTTATTTTCTGGTGCTTTCGCTTCCAGAGACAGCTGTAAGCGGTGTGTAACTGCCTCGAGGGTGCTTGACCAATTGAACACAACGTGCGACTATCCCCTTTGCGCGGAGTGAGGGTTCTCGATCCCCGCACTCGACCCCGCACAGAGTAATCTACTCGACCACCATTCATGGTTACCGCCAAAAAAAAACCAGAGGAAAAAAAAATAAGCGGTAACCTGATTGCCGAGCTCACGAAGTGATCCGCTTGTTTTACTATAAGACCGCTGCCAAGCGACGAAAACCCAACCCCGATGGCAAACACCGGGGGGGGGGGGGGTACTCATAGTCGTGCATGCCGTAGTCGTTAGACCATTGACCTCGCATCCGTACAAAGCCGGGACGGAGCACGTCGGGTTCTCACCGGACCAGGCTCTCACATCACCAAGCGCGAAGCGCCGTGAGGTATTCGGCGAGTCGCATGAAGGGTGAGCTGCATCCTGCTAAGGGTGTTCGGCTTCTTGTGCTTACTTCCTTGCGTACGAATGACAGCTGCGTATGCCTTACTTTATTTTCTGGTGCTTTCACTTCCAGAGACAGTTGTAAGAACTGTGTAACTGCCTCGAGGATGCTTGACCATTTTAACACAACGTGGTGCAATCATCCCCCTTGCGCGGAGTGAGGGTTCTCCACCCCGTACAACAGGATCTACTCGACCACCATTATGGTTACCGCCAAAAAGAAAAGAGGCAAAAAAAAAAAAAAGGTAACCTGGTTGCCGAGTTCACGAAGTGAATTGGCTTGTTTTACAACGTCGTTGCCAAGCGACGGAAACCCAACCCCGATGGCAAACACCGAGGGGGGGGGGGGGGGGGGGGGGATAAAAACACCGGGGGGGGGTCTTGTTTTACAACGTTGCCACGGGACGAAAAACCA